TACAACCCTCGAGAGTAATGGAGCGCAAGAGGAATGCGACACCCAAGCTTCAGGTGGATCCAAGAAAAAAATCTTACACAACGGACTTTAAAGGGGGGAGGTGTGACGACGGACCACCGGTGAACTCGAGGAAGCTGTAAGAGGCTCATAAGGAGCCGAAGACGTTCCATCCAATCACCTGTCGGAAGAATGTTCTAGAATTCCAACGTGTAGCTTCCCCATTGGATAATGCTAATAACCCCTGTACGCGGATTGGAAGATTGTAATGATGATTTCGTTCCCACTAAAAACTATAAATACCTGATAATTTTGTACTATGTTTGACACTGTTTGGAATAATATTCCTTTCGTTAGTCTTCTGTCTTCTTATTGCGACTTGGAAGGGTTTGGTGTTCCAGTGCTCAGTTATACGCGGTTGTATCAAGAAAATCAGCTTTTTCAAGATATAACACTTTGTTTATGTAATAATGTATGATTTTCCATGAAAATTATAACCATGAATTATGATCTTCAGTAATTTTCTGATATTTATACAGAAATGCTTGTTAAAAGTAAATGCATACGTGGAATCACTTGCAATAGAATTATTCATTACCATCTATCTTTCAAAATGTATATGCTCTCACACGGCCACGCGTATACAGCCTCTGCCAGGGAAGTCCTACTCACTGCCTTCTCGTGGCGGGGGTGTTGTTTACGAAAATTAGAGGACGAAAAGCGAATGTCCGGAGCTTTAACCGGGTTGGTGGACACGGAGAGTTTACCTAAGGGAGTTGGGAAACCCTGATTCCAAACCACTGGTGCACATTGGCTCCAGCACCCCGAGGGAACAAATGGCGTATGAACTAATCGTTTTTCACCGGCTACCATGGGACTGCATCTCCTTACGATGCTCCACTGCCTTGTGGATCAGACCTTTAGGTCGAAAGCTCCAGGCATGGTCGCCTAAGAAAACCACCTGCTTCGGTCTGGGCACCCGGGTAGTATCACAGCCCACACACAAATATGATGTAATGTCGATATTTATGGAAAATACTTTTCTTGCTTCGATTAACAATCAAACGATTCACATTATTATTACCATTATTTACTACGACATTTATTCACTCTCTTTTATTCCCACTCTGTGCATACTTATTTTTCGACTTACATAGTAGCTCGCCTATCTAAACGTTCTCGAGTCACTGACTGGTTGAAAATTGTATGCTACCACCAAATACGAATACTGAAGCAGTTTTTTTGAAACCACATGCACCATTCAAACTGGCTGCCTTCAACGTTCGCACACTTATTCAGGTCGGACAACAGATAGGGCTGGCTATGTCTTTGGAAAGTCTTAATATTGATGTTTGTTGTCTATCCGAGACCCGTATTCAAGACTCTGGTGAAGTACTACATATTCGCTCTCCATCTGTCGCTTCAAAAAGCTTTCTGGCTAGCACCAACTTTCGGCACAGTCATCGCCGATGTGCCACCTGGCGTCCTCCCTCTGCATCTCAAGCCTGGACTCAGATTGATCACATCGCGATCAGCTACCACTGGTGTGGTTGTGTACAAGACTGCCGCTACTTTTGGAGTACCTATCTGGACTCTGATCATGCCCTGGTCTGCGCCAATCTTACCTTACTTTTCAGTGGCCAACGAAGTGACCGCCACCAAAGGATTTATGTCAGCAAGCTGGTAGCAACTCCTGTTGCAAGTAAGTATCGAATCGAGCTAGCTTCTAGGCTAGCTACCACTCCACCGAAAAGTATGGATGAGCGTCGGTTGTAATTGCATGACGCCATGAAAATGGCGGGTACAGTCAGTTATGGGTTTGCGAAATGTCCCGCTTGTAAGCACTGGGTTTCTTCTGGTTCCTTACAACTCATTGAAGCCCGTCGGTCTACTCCGGGTGACCGTGAGTTTGACCACAAACGAAGGTTGTTACGTAGCGAAATTGGGCAAAGCTTGCGTAAGGACCGAGAAGCCTGGTGGTCGGAGCGTGCTAATGAGCTGGAAGCAGCAGCTGCATTTGGTAATTACCGGAAGCTCTTCCAACTCATCCGAGCCACTGGCAGCAAGAAGTCCGGTGTGAGCAAAACAATCTGCGAGGATGATGGGATGCCAATCACTAACATCCAACGACGTCTTGGACGATGGGCAGATTTTTTTGAAGGGCAGTTCAACTGGCCTGCTGCTCCGGCAACATCGGTCAGACTGTCCTGCCCTCCATGGCCGGTGACGACTGATCCACCAAATGAGGAGGAAGTCTGCAAGGAACTCCAACTCTTGAAGCGTTACAAATCACCTGGCCCAGATGACTCACCTTTTTAAAGATGGTGGTGACTTTCTGACTAAGGAACTGACGACGTTGTTTACAAAGGTCTGGGAACTAGAGAGTGTACCAACGTCATGGAATGAGTCGATAGTTGTCCTTATCTTTAAAAGGGGTTCACGTCGTTCCTGTAACAACTATCGGGGGATAAGTCTACTTCCGATTGCGTCCAAGCTATTGGCTTCCGTCATACTTCGTAGGTTGTTCAAAACCCGAGAAAGATTGATTCGCGATGAGCAGGCTGGTTTTCGTTCTGATCGAGGACGTATTGATCATATCTTCACCCTCCGCCAAATGTTAGAACATCGTCATACTTTACAAAGGCCAACAATCGTAGTGTTTCTTGACATCAGGGCTGCCTTTGATTCGTTGGACAGGACTGTTCTCTAAGATTGTCTATTGAAGAAGGGTGTGCCTGAGAAGTCCATCAACGTCTTAAAGGCCCTATATACAAACACCTCAGGTAGAGTGAGGGCATACAACCACCTTTCTCCATTGTTCTATTCGAGCAGTGGGGTTAGGCAGGGTTGCCCAATCTCACCATTCCTCTTCAACTTTGCCATAGATGACATTCTGGAAACAGCTCTGATGGGTGTAAGTAATGGCGGTGTGGATCTGTTGCCTGGAGAAAGACTTCTCGACCTTGAGTATGCGGATGATACTGTCTTACTGTGCGATAATGCCCAAGGCATGCAATCCGCACTTAATCAGTTGGCAATCAATGTACGTAGGTATGGTATGTGCTTTGCACCTCCGAAGTGCAAAGTACTTCTACAAGATTGGCAGGATTCTAATCCTGTACTCAGCCTGGATGGTGAGCAGATAGAAATAGTCGAGAAGTTCGTGTATTTGGGTAGCTGCATAAGTGCTGGTGGGGGGGTGAGTGATGAGATTAATGCACGTATAGTGAAAGCCAGAGTGGCTTATGACAATCTGGGTCATTTTTGGCTCCTTCGTGATGTCAATCTGGCTGTAAAACGTCGAATCTACAACGCGTCGATGAGAGCAGTTTTGCTCTATGCTTGTGAAACCTGGCCTCTCCGAGTTGAGGATGTTAGACGACTCTTTGTTTGATCATCGTTGTCTCCGAAGGATTACTGACATCCAGTGGGAACACCATCTTAGTAATGCAGAGGTTCGGCATCGTGTGTTCGGGCGCAGAGACGATAATCCAATTGGTGTCACCATCTTGAAACACCGACTTCGGTGTCTTGGACATGTTCTACGAATGTCGTCCCAGAGAATTCCACGTCGTGCATTATTTGCCGACTCTGGGACTAGTTGGAAAAAGCGGAGAGGTGGTCAGTATATGACATGGTGTCGTGGTATGAAAGAAAGCTGCAAAGGGATGGCTTCTGTTGGTCCTTCACGACTCCCTGGCTGGGGTCCGAGAGATGGTGCGACACAGTGGCTAGACACGTTATCAGATATGGCTCAGAATAGAAGCCAGTGGTGATCCTGCTGTAACCTTCTTTTACTTTCTTCATAAAAAGTGGTTGTGTCTTCCTTAACTGAAAGATTTCTTCTGGTTGTACCTTTCCACTTCCCCCATCATTACTATTATTATTATTATTATTATTATTATTATTATTATTATTATTATTATTACACTACCTTACACTAATCTGGTCGTTATTGTTCTTTTTTTACGCTCCTTACCTTCTTTTTTTCCCTCCTCGAATTCTCATTGTTTTGTGTGGCGCATATATATTTGGTGCCCCCTTGTACCAATATTTATGTGTTCAAATAAATAAATAAGTATAAATATGTAAAATAAGTGATGCACATTAACTTAATCCTAATTTAATCACCTGACTGATACTATTCAAAAACATTTTATTCAATAGGTCTGGTATGAGTTTTCTAGAAGAGTAACCAAGTATCAAGATTATTGACTAAATAGGATTCGGAAAAAGTAACACTGTGCTTAGTGGATTATCTAATCATGTTAAGTTGTGGAATATGAAATCTAAAATGTGAATATGAGTTGTTTAGTGTGAATTATGATATGGTCGCAAATAAAATCAGTTTGATTGATAGTCAAAAAACATAGCATCCTTGAGATGAAAATAAATACATGTATTTTCATGTGATGTTGTGCTATAATTGTTCAAGGTATATCCAGTTATCATACGTAATTAAGGTAAATGGTTGTATTTCATTGTTGTCCACAAAAATGAAGTGAAATAGAAGCAACAGATTAAATTTATACCCATTAACTAAAGGCTGCTATGATGCAGCTAGTTGTACTCCATCTCGTCTGTATATGGGCAGGCATAAACAGTCTGTTTGTTTTTGAAAAGGGAGTCAACATCTTTTTGAAGAATCTTTGTCCCTTCTAAGTCGATTGTATGTCCTTTTTCTATTAAGTAAGGAGTAATTTGATTTGTTTTGTGATACCTATTTCTACTTGTTAACCTTGATAATTTCCCTGGTGAATCTCAAACTAGAATATCAAGCGGAACATCAGAGTTCTTTTTTAAAATTTGAATCACCGAGTCTTTTTAAAGACATCGTTTTTCTTCTAATATTTCCCATATTATTAGTGAACAAGTATCGCAAAGCTATTCGTTCAAATTTGAAAAAGTCTTTATATAGCTTATTGATAGTAGTTCACACTGGTTCTGATTTTTTATGATGTTATGTATGCTTCATACATTTTCTCGTCTTTTTTTTGATGAAGGTAATATAAAATTAAATGAATCATTGTACAGAACGTCTGCTGGTTGTAATTTTTCTTCTACTCGTGGCGCAGTACCAAATCAAACTGGTCTCAATTTATCCCATCCAGGTACACTTGCTCCAAATGGTTTACTCTCCGGTGATTGGTGTTGTGCTATGCCTACAAATAATATAGGTTCATCACGTGTAGCGTCTAACAACAATAACTTTCGTCTACCAATATCACATATGTGTAAACGATAAAATTAAAACATCATTAAGAAGATAAATTAAGTATTGCTATCTTTATAATTTCTCTGTGTGACTGTCTGTCTGTACGATGTGGCAGTTTCTTTCTGTACATTCTTACCACATAATATTTATCTTTAAAAATATACAAATGGTTTAATCTATTCATCAGAATGTAACCTTAACTCTCCCCTTCCCCAGTGAAAGTTTACATGAATCTTGGATCATTGAAATACTAATATGAACAATTATTTCTACTACTACTTTTATTGAATTTCAGTAACATACGTGTATTCTTCCATTTTATCATTATAGGATCCTGATGCTTCTGTAATTTACTATATTTATGCCTTAGTATGTGTATGTGTTTGTTCGCATTTGCTAATTGGATCTCATCTTAATGGGACTGTCTTTTAAGGCAAATGATGCATATTTACATTACATCTTATCAATATATGTATACTTATGCGGTTACTATTATTATTTAGTGTGAACATTCTAATTTTTCCCGCCCTTTTATTTACCTGTAAATCTCCTAATTGTCTTCCTGGGATTTACAACAACAACCTTGCATTTTTTGTCATGATAAAACAAATCTCTTCTGTTCTGTTGTTGTCATCATAGTAATTGCAATACATTTATATATATTTCCGTCTCTGTCCTATATCTTTAACATTTCTTCCTTTTTTCTCTACCTTTCTGTCTGATCCACACAACGTGTTATTTTGTGTATGTTTGTCTTTGTATGTGCACGTGTACAGCGGTGTTTTACTATTCCATATGCTATAATTATTATATTTTTTTCCAATGAGTTGGATTTAATGGGATAAAGACAACCATGTAGTTTACCATATATTCGACGTACATGATTATATTTTGTATAATGAGTCAAATATTTGTATGGTTACTTGAGATGTATGCGTGTGCACTTTTAATGTTAATGGCTGATTGCCTTCAACAATAAGGAAGTTGATAAAGCGTGTTTTTTTTACCACATGTTTTTGCGTATGTGCTGTATTGCTACTATTATTATTTAATTAGTCAATCTTTTTTGTTTTTCAATTTTTATTTAAGTAATTAGTCTATTTATTTATTTATTTACTTACAATTTGTTATTTATTATTATTTTCCTTGATTGCTTTTCTCTTCTAAAGTCATTATTGTTAAATTATTTTTTATCGTTATTATTATTATTTATTATCTGTTCGTTAATTTATTTATTTAATAATATGAATTATATTTGTATCATGATCATTCATAGTGCTATGGTCTAATTGTCATAATTATTAATTAATTTTACTATAGTAGTATAAATAATGTTGTTGATCTGAATTTGATTTTTATTTATTTTATAGTATTTTATGGAAATCATTAGTAGATTAGAGAAAAAAAAAGGTTATCACAATTGATTTCATAGATATTATTCCTAAAAATGAATAATGTGATTTATAATTCCTAAGACATGTAAGATAGATTTAGACAAAGTAACAACAACAAAAAAAAGAACGATATTTATAAGAAATTATTCTTGTTTTACTGAGTTTTATTATATAAATTAATATAATAAAACTTATATGTATATCTGATAAATTATTAGAATGTACTTCAATTATTTCATTAAAATTATTTAGCTGAAATGACATCTAATATTTCCAACATTATTATTTCAATATCTATACATATACAAACTGTACTGGGAATACTTTGTCTGTAAGTATCTATTCAGTTGTTTGATCTTAAGAATGATAAATTTGTTCTGTGCATAATTTAATAATCATTAGGAAGATTTTTCATTAGATTACTTACAAAAAAATCTGTTCATAGGCATTTAAACAGTAAAGATTCATAAACCCCTCTATATTAAAAAAAAATATATATCTAACATCTAAGCAAAATATTTTCCACTTGAATAACAAAGTACTGAGTTCTGTTCCATGAAGGTTTGTAGAGTTTTCATGATATCCGAACCCATCGTATTCAGTGTTAAAAATGAAGATGTTGTTTACTTCAGATATTGTAGACTGTGTAGGACTAGTTTATTTTTTAACTAGAGTTTGGATAATTTAGTGGTAAGAGCACTCGATTTCAAAACATTGAAGCGTTGGTTCAAGCAACACCTTATGTACTTTGTTCTGACTAGTACTATCGATTCCCACCCAAAAAGTACAACTGATAGCTGAGTATATGAATCTCCACATGCTTACTGCTGCGACAGGTCAAATTACTGATTACCGTCCAAATTTTTTACAGAAATGCTTTCATTTTATCAGATACCAGTGAACATGGATGACCTTTTACCTTTATTTAAGATGTCTGGATTATTGTAGTTGTGTAGTAAACGAGAATACAAGTAGAGACAATCGAATCTATTTGAACACAAAATTACAGAATGTCTTAGTAAAATGTGAGAACCATACAGTGAATACTTCATTTGCAAAATGTCAATAAGTTGTCTCAAACACCGTGATTGCTTACGGACTGATGGGATTCGAATATCCAATCAGATTGTATGTGAGTGACGATGATGTATAGGCGATTAGTATTTGTATTTTGGTTTGTTTGTGTGTGTGTGTGTGATTGATTGATTGATCGAGCGAGCGGGTGTGAATGCGTGGATGGATGAGTTTTTGAGTAGTGAGCGATGGTGTTGTTGTGGTGTAACCTATTGAAGTGTTGATTGATCACTGATCATGTGATCAGTTTGAGCACAGAATAGTGACTGGTTGTAGACGGTGTGTGGCACGACAAAGATGGGAATGGACAGTTGGTGGTGAAATGAGAAACATTGTTAGTTTTGTAAGAGTACAAGTATATTTGATAGAGAGATTAGAAACTACATATTTGATGGTGGGTTCTCGTGATTGGATGTTGACGGGAGATGGTTGTTAGTGTTGTGCTAATCACGACGACAGTTTCTGCAGCAGCCTCCATAACAGTTTCCACCTTGGCATCCACGACATCCACAGCATCTAGGGCATTGAGGACATGCACCAGGACAACAACCACCCTGACTGTCTGGTGCTGGTTCTGCAATCACTGAAAACGAAATAACACAACGTCACAATATGATTCACATGGAATATGACAGAGCAAAACAAAACAATTCCATGCCTACACCTCTATCCAGCCCACTTCAACTGTGGTCACTTCACTACATGTTGTTCCACAAATCGACAACACACCGCATTACTATTCATTTCAGTCCTGTTGACTTCGCATCACTCCACTTCGCTTCAGTTGAACACATGACACAACACTGTTGTGTTTAACTGAAGGCTGAATCAGCAAGTGGGATACTTTTGTAATTACTCGCCAGTAAGTGGCAACTTCATGTTATGCGATCGAGTAAGATAAGACTCACCTGAGTTGTGACATTCGAATGACACGACCAGTACAACTAAGACGAGCTGAAATAAAAACACCGATCAGGCATATATTATTACACACAACGGTATTTCAACATACATGGAAGATTTGCATTGTCGTTTGCTGTCAACTTGTTGCTGACTGCATACATTCAACCACAGTATTTATACTCGTGGAAGTTGGCATTCGGAGCAAACACGTGTTTACACCCGATGTCGAGCAGTTCAGTCGAAACAATCCATTTGCGTGTGTCTGTGTCTGTGTGTGTATTGTGTAGGTATGTACGTATGTGATCTGTACGTGTGTATATGTATATGTATGTGTATGCACACGTGTGTTTGTGTACGTAGATGAAAGAGCGATAATTCACACTTGGCTTTGTTCAATGGATTTCACGTGGTACGTATGGGACGGTGTTGAAATCGACTTGATAACGATTGACAGGATACCTGAAGAGTTGCGTAGATCTGCGTTCTGAGTGTGTAGGTGAGGTGTGGTTGTGGGTGTTTGTGTTTGTGTTGAAAATGTTGTTGGAACGTGTGATTATTATTGTTGTTGAATTTACGAATGGTATTTATGTTGAGAGTGTTCTGGATGCGTGCTCAGTTGAGTGCTACATACAGATTGCAAGATTTCCCTATGTTTGGTAGTTTTGATGACTATTTTCCAGATATGTGGAGGAGTTGAATGATGTGTCTGAGAGATTGTGTGTTGACCTGGTCAACAGAGTGGAGATGTCCTACTGGATTTGAAATTGAACAAGTGTACTGTATTGTATGGGATTACAGTGTATTGGAACTATACAGCGAATGTGTTTTGATTAAATGGTGAGTGGTACATTTTGACGAAGTGTGTGGTTGTTTGTGTGTTGTTAGTTTGCGTGAGTTCATTTGAACAAAGTGTGTGGACTGAGTAAGTGGGGATTATTGAGACAAGTGAATCAGTGTCTTGGATAATTTGTTGACGAATCATTGTGTTTTGAACAGGATGAGTTTCTGACCATATGTAGGAGGATGTTGAAACTGTTGTTAGTGTTATTATTATCATGTTGATTATTGATAACGTAACTAATACGACGAATGATAATAATCATAATAGTAGTATTAGTTTTATTGTTGTTGTTGTTGTTGTTTTGGGATGGGATGGGTTGATTTAGTTAATGTGATTGAGTTGATGTGAGAGTACTGTACTGCCTGTATGTGTTAGTAGAACTGTGTGAAACAATGGTGTTTTGAGAGATCATGTGGTTCACTGTTTGACAAGTTCACACTTATATGAGTTGAACTGACTATTGAAGTGAATGTGAATCAGATGCTGATGAATTAGCTGATCAGCTTCACATACATGGTGACGTAATGTGTAGAGGTAACTTTGTGTGTGTGTGTGAGTGAGTGAGTGTGTTTGTGTGTGTGTGTGATGGTATAGTTTTGTATGTGTGTGTGCTGTGATGTTAATGTATGGTATGAGAGTAGTGTGATTGGAGTGAGTTTTATACTGGTGTTGACACTGGATTGTTATGGAAGTGGTGGTAAACGAGAAGGAGGAGGTGAATGACAGTAGTGTGCAAATTCGATTTCGTGTCGACAAACGCAAACAATGATGAGATAGTCAGAGTGATTGAGAGGTGTATAGATGGGAAAGTGTATATGGAGGTTGTTGTATGTGTATGAATTTTGAGATGATGAATCAATGGTGCATGGTGTATTGGATAGGCAGAATGCAGTGGAGTATTGGTTGAGAATACTGACAGTGTATTCTGTGTCATAGGTAGACACATGTATGAATTTCAGGAGTTGATTGATTTGTGGAATTGCGACTGTTCCGTGATCGAATGTTTGACTTGTGTATTTGTTTATCTCGATCCCTATAGCGGTGAGTTTCTTCATACAGTTGTATATGGGAGAATGTGTGTACGTGAGCGTGTGTAAAACTGTAAATGAGTGTGTGATTTGGTGGATATTGGATTGAGTGTAGGTGTATTGTTCGAGAACACCGTGATTGCTTACGGACTGATGGGATTCGAATATCCAATCAGATTGTATGTGAGTGACGATGATGTATAGGCGATTAGTATTTGTATTTTGGTTTGTTTGTGTGTGTGTGTGTGATTGATTGATTGATTGAGCGAGCGATCGAGCGAGCGGGTGTGAATGCGTGGGTGGATGAGTTTTTGAGTAGTGAGCGATGGTGTTGTTGTGGTGTAACCTATTGAAGTGTTGATTGATCACTGATCATGTGATCAGTTTGAGCACAGAATAGTGACTGGTTGTAGACGGTGTGTGGCACGACAAAGATGGGAATGGACAGTTGGTGGTGAAATGAGAAACATTGTTAGTTTTGTAAGAGTACAAGTATATTTGATAGAGAGATTAGAAACTACATATTTGATGGTGGGTTCTCGTGATTGGATGTTGACGGGAGATGGTTGTTAGTGTTGTGCTAATCACGACGACAGTTTCTGCAGCAGCCTCCATAACAGTTTCCACCTTGGCATCCACGACATCCACAGCATCTAGGGCATTGAGGACATGCACCAGGACAACAACCACCCTGACTGTCTGGTGCTGGTTCTGCAATCACTGAAAACGAAATAACACAACGTCACAATATGATTCACATGGAATATGACAGAGCAAAACAAAACAATTCCATGCCTACACCTCTATCCAGCCCACTTCAACTGTGGTCACTTTGTAACAGCTTATGTTGGTTGGTTAATTTTTGACCCCAAACAAACAAGTATATGCCAAAACAGTATTGTTCAAGTATTCATTCACTTCCTTGTTTCTATAAGCGTTATATTCCCTATTATCTTATATTGAATGTTGAGAGCCTTTGTTTGTCTGAACAGATAATCCCACGCTCCACTGTGACCGCGCTAAGATCGAAATAAAGACCTATTCACTACTTGTCTGGTTTCTTCTATCAATAGCACGAGGGTTACTTAAGGCACGAAAGTGGTGAGCCCTTTTTGAACACAAATTTAACCTCATTTCTGTTATTAACATTTTTTTTACTTAATCGTAAAAGTAGACCTGATTATCCGTAAACTAATTTGAGTATATAACTAGTTTATTCCGTATTATCTTAAGTTATTCGTGTTATAGTAACCATTTTTCGTGCTAACTTTATTGCTATATTTGTCACATACCTCATGTCAGACTCAATAGAAACCCATAATCTGGAGGATTTGTCACCAGTGGAGATAGACACTGTTATGACTACGAAATCCCGACTTCCAGAATTTGATCGTAGTGATCCTGAGTTGTGGTTTGCTCAACTAGAGCATTATTTCACGAGACACAATATCAAATCTGAAGGGATTCGCTATAGAGACTTGTGTTCTATCCTTCCTCCTTCAGTCGCCAAAGAAGTCCGTGACTTGATTTTAAGTCCACCATCACCACAACCATACACCATCTTAAGACGAGAGATAATGAACCGTTTATCATTATCAGATAGTCAAAGAATCCAAAGACTTTTTCAAGGTGAAACACTAGGTGATCGGTCGCCGTCACAGTTTTTACGTCACCTCCAAGTCTTAGTGGGTGATAACACAGTGGGTGAAGCAGTCCTAAAACAAGGATGGATACAAGCTCTCCCATGCTACGTCCAACACTGTTTGGATGCACAAGATCCTGAAACCTCATTATCTCATTTAGCGCGTATAGCCGACAGAATAATGGAAAGAGGTCCTCCAACTGGATCAGGCACAATAAATCACACACAAAAAGTAGAATCAGCAAAAGACCCCGTAATAGAAGGACTCATTGCGAGTGTTAAGAGTCTCACTGAGGCTGTCACCAGAATGCAAATGGGTCATAGAAACAGGAGCAGGTCACCACAACGACCACGATCCAAGAAAAAAAAAAAGTCACAAATGTCCAGACAATCTGGGCAGTTTTGTTGGTACCACTGGAAGTTTGGTGTCAACTCAACCAAGTGCATGCAACCATGCGCCTGGCCTAAGCATAATTCTAAGACAGCGGGAAACGAGTAACCCCTCCCCAGGTCGCGACGACTGAGGAGGGGCGCCTAAACAGTCGCTTGTTTTATGTTAGAGACAGAAACTCTGGCTTGAATTTCTTGGTGGATACTGGCGCTGCTCTTAGCATCATCCCTCAAAATAAAACTGAGATTAGTCGAGAAACATCATCAATTACACTTCAAGCTGCAAATAAAACTAAAATTGCGACATTTGGGCAGAAAACTTTAACCCTAGATTTGGGGTTCAGGAGGCAATTCCCTTGGGTTTTCACGGTAGCCGACTTAGATCTGGCAATACTGGGGATGGACTTTCTAGAGAGATACGAATTTCTAGTTGACACCAAGAAACGGCGATTAACACTAAAAGAAACTTCGTATTACACAAAAGGCAAAGAAAGTCACATCAGCTCTCTTAACTTGATTCAAACTCCCCAGTAACAACAGCGAAATTCCAAGATATACTCGCGGAATTTCCAAACTTAACTAAACCAAACCCACAGCCTTCTAAAGACAAACTAAAAGTAAGTCACACTATCAAAACCGAAGGTGCACCGGTGTTTGCAAAACCCAGGAGACTAGCACCAGATAAGCTCAAAATCGCTAGGGCCGAGTTTGATTATATGCTACAATTGGGTATTATCCGTCCCTCTGATAGTCAATGGGCATCCCCTTTGCATATGGTCCCAAAGAAGAATGAAGGTGACTGGCGACCGTGCGGGGATTACAGAGCCCTAAACCGTCAAACCGTACCAGATAGGTACCCAATACCTCATATCCAAGATTTCACCAACGGTTTACAGGGTATGAACATATTCACTAAAATTGACTTAGTCAGGGCATATCACAATATCCCGGTGGCTGATGAAGATATTCCCAAGACAGCTATTACTACACCCTTTGGCTTATTCGAGTTTGTACGCATGCCATTCGGCCTGAGAAATGCGGCACAGACATTTCAAAGATTCATAGATAACCTACTTCGAGATATGCCATTTGCGCAGGGGTATATAGACGACTTGTTAATTGCCAGCCCCGATTTGCAATCACACGAACAGCATGTACAAGCAGTGTTGAAAAGACTGGATGAACATGGAATAAACATACATCAAAGTAAGTGTGTTTTCGGT